TTTTTTTTATTAATTTTGTACTTAAAATATTCTAAAAGAAACATAACAATATTTTTTTATGTACTTTCACTTTTCACGTATAGTATAACTACTCTTTAAGATTAAGTACTGTGTATCTCAAAAACCAGAGCTAATAAAAATTTTTAATTGTTATTTTCGTTTTTATCACCCCAAAATTAGTAGAAATTGACTAATTTAGTGTAGGAAACATTCAAAAAATATTTTTTTGTTGTGTTGTGTAACCAGTAATAAAATGATATCTGAAAAATACAGACGGAAAGATAAAGAGTTTTGTAAACGTGTTCAAGAATTAAAGAAAGTCATTCAATTTTTCGAAGAAAAATAATATTACCCACACCCCAATGCCGCGTGTTTTCTTTGCCCCATTTTCCAACTAACATTTGACATGTATTCAAACACGAAAACGAAAAAACGCATGCGAAACAACGCATTTTGAAATGCCATTGCTGAATACTCTGCTCCCCCCATTGCCCCATTTCAAACTGAAAGTAAAATCGTTTCTCATCGGAATCGCACGTTGAAACGCTACACTCCCGTTAAACTTCCATGCTTTTTAAATGGCGTATTTTGATACACCCTGCACACATTGAAGAATCACACTTTAAATCGGTAGAGCCCCGTTAAACTGTCATGTTTTTTTCTCAAACGCTACACACACACACACTATAAATCCCTATAGCAGCCATGTTTTTTTTCTTTTACGTTGGTAGCCATTTTTTTTCTTGAACGCTGCACTGAATGCTTCGCCGTCATGTTTTTTTCTTTAATCCGATTTTTCATTTATTGTTATAACTGAATCTCTCTGATATTCATTCTATCCTTCTATGTATCGGTTACGTCGCATACTTCTCTTTCCCACTCACTAACGTAGTAACGTCCCCTAGGGAATACGTCGTAGATCTCTCTTTACTGATCTACTGATTAGTATTGCATCTGCTGTGAGGACAACCAAAGCACTGTGTCCGTTACCTCTTCGTCTTTGATGTCTACCGCGGTTGTGGACGAAACGTCAGGCACAAAACCTAAAGACCCTGGCTTACAAACTACTGCTAAAACGCTGCATAGGTTGAGGACATTTATTGCTGGCAACTCTCAATTACTTCAGTTCTGTAAAACCAAAAACCTTCGAGCTCTGAACTTACCATAAGTTGATTAATGTAATATTCGTAAGGAACTGTTTGAGTATGAGGATCAATGGCAATTTCGAGCATTTCATCGAGTTCTTCTTGGGTGAACGGTTCGCCATCTTGACTCATCAACGTCGAAATTTGGTCCTTTGTTAAAAATCCGTGGCCCTCGGGGTCTAGAGTGTGGAATGCTTCTAGAAGCTGTTCGGGACTAGCAGGTTGGTATCTAAATCATTAAGCTTTATTGAAATAATCATTATAATGAACTCAATTATGTATATTATTTGGGGTTAGGTTCTTTAAAATCTCCTGAATGTATACATTTCTTTTTGGTATATTCGAATCTAGCGATGTATATATGAAATTAGGAAAAACAAGCAGTGGTTTCAATTATATTTTCAAGTATTCTGGCATTTATTATTTCGGGCGCACTCAATTTATAATCCAAACAGTGAACATGGCAAACACTTTTATAGTAGGTAATGGAATTATGTTTTTTTATAAATATCAATATTATGATTTAGTTTTATTCAAATATACTCACTCGTTACTTGATCAACATTTATAGAATCATCCATGAAACCAAAAAGTCAATAAACTTTTCTGTCCTCACAATAATAAAAGTAAACAGCAAACATGTTTTCGCAATTAATCACAAACCACAATAAAGATTTAGCTTCTTTATTCTTTTTATAGTCACTATTTTTCAATGTTTTTTACAAAAAAATATAATAATTTGTATATTTATCCTTGTAAAAAAGCACTAATGAAGAATTTGGAAAAGCCAAACATTAGGTAAAATTTATTGCGTTATTCAAAATATTATAGTGACTTTGATCTGTAACTGAATGTTGATATGTTGGTAACACTGTTTGAGATTAGTGCAAAATTATAGTACCCTCCATATACGAAATGAATCTGGGATTGTTTCCTGACAACAAGGTAAACGGGTGCAAAAAAATGAAGATGGTAATACAAGACAAATAAAATTAGAAAAATTATTCGTGTGCTTCTATTGAGTGAAGCTTTATCTTCGAGAATTATCCAAAGATGTGTATGTCTACCTACTTATGTTCGGTAATGATTTGCGACACGTAAGGTAAAAATTTTGATAGGTGAGCGCTTCCCGGCGTCTGGGGGTTCTCCACGGCTACGATGATCTCTTGAATTTCCGCCTCCGAGGGGCAGCATCCCAATCCTCTGATGATCGTCGATATTTCTCGTACGTCGATGCTTTTGTTTCCGGCATGGTCGAACACCTCGAACGCTTCGGCGATTCTTCTCTCCAAATCGTTATTGATCGGAACTGAATAATTATAGATTAATTGTATAAGTAATTACTTACTAGTAATGAAGAAAAGAGAATTGAAACTTTCTATGTTTTTTACCACTTTTGTTTGTACCTAACGTTTCTGCAGTTTCGTCCTATAAGGACATTTTCAAATTTATACATTAAACTAACAATGGTTCATTACATTAGCCCTTAGACATAGCACCCCTGTAGGTAATAAGAGAGGTTCTTGGCTTGATATTGAGTACCTGAATTTACAATTTACAATGCGGATGTGCTAATTTGAAAACCGGTGAGTAAACTAAGTCGATTTGATCATTTAACAGGTTGCACCCGCAATGTTAATGCTTGTGAATTTGCAAGGATTCTAAATAATTGAGTTTGTAACCCTTCCTTGCTTAGTGCAAACTTTCCTCATCGTTTAGATTCGGGAACTCGTGGTTGCATGCCAAGGAATGGTTTGAACACGTCGAATCATTTTTTCCTAGTCTGAAGGATCTTTCATGTTCAGCATACCGTTTTTGGAAATTTCGACCACATTGTCCCACATAAACACTATTACACTCCGGACACTTAAGCTTATAAACTCCCGATTTCTCCAACTTGTCCACCTTATCTTTGACATTGAAAAGGAAATCAGATAACCTGGCATGTGGTCTGAATGCCACTTACTAGTAATATCGCCTCGAAATAAAATGATAATTATAATCCTCTCCATTGATGAACACCAGATACTGTCACTACACCGGAAATCTCATCAACAAATGTGACTCAATTTTCAGAAGCATCTTTGAAATACACTTCTGATTTCAGATCGTTTGGCCGGTTTGTTTGTTTGTTTCCTGTTCTGTTTTGAAACATTAAATTCAATGTTTTAAAACATTGAATTCAATGTTTTAAAACATTAAATTCAATGTTTTAAAACATTAAATTCAATGTTTTAAAACATTAAATTCAATGTTTTAAAACATTAAATTCAATGTTTTAAAACAATTACTTTAATGTTTTGAAACATTAAATGGCTAGGTAAAACTCAGGTAGGTACTTGAAATTTGGGTACTTCAAAAGCAAAATTAGGTATATAAAGCATTGCATATGCAGCATTCAGTTACATTCAGTTAGTATTTAAAAATATTCAATTTAAACAACACAATTGAACTCAATAAAATAGATGCAACGACTATGCGTCTAAGTACACATCTGCATCTAAACAGCAAACAGCCTTTTTTCAGCAATATCGGCATTATGAGTAGAATACAGTGACGGCTCGTGTATTGGAGAACAGGGGAGGCTAAAGTCATAAAGACTATATACACACAGAAAAGCCCGCCGGAGGCGCGAAAATTTTTTGGGGTACCGCACCTATTTAAAGCAAAATACGTAATATTTGCATAAATGCAAACAAAAATTGTGTATTGCCGAAAATTATACGTATAAAACTGATCATTAAAAAAGCAAAAACAAGAAAAAGAGTTGTCTTTCAGTTATTTAATATAAATCATTTTTCATTTTTTAACATAAAATTTAATAAATCTGAAGGGGACTTGCAATTTTGAAACATTTGTGGGTCGCTGTACATTACGATTTCATTTTTCAGTTGAATAACAACGAAAAATGGATACTAAGCTAACCTGATTATTAAAAGAAATTATGGCCTCTCTTTGAGCTGTATCTAACGCTGTTGCTATATTTTGTTTGCTAAACAATTTTAATTTACAAGACGAAAATATATGCTCCTTAGATTTGAAATTTCTTTTTGTAGAACGAGCAAAATTTTTTAAATCGGAGTATCCTATTTTAGACCACGTTTGGTATTCGGTTTGTACGGAAAATAAAACACAGAGCCAACAAAAAAGTTTTTCTCGTTTAATGGAGCTGGTTAACCAATCGCATTTATCGTAGCAACTAATATTAAATCCTGGATTTTGTCGATTATCTGACGCTTTAATTGAAATCAAATTTGGTTGAGGCCTTCCCAGAGTTTTAATAATGTAAAATTTATTATCATAAGATAAAGACTTGAAATTATTTGTCAGCAACCAATCGACTATATCGTCAGATTTTTTAATTTCGTCCAACTTATCCATAATAAATGGAAAAAAACTTACCGAAAAGTGAAAACCTGAAAACACCTTGAAATTGAAAGAAAACACTAAAAATACATTAAAAATATTACCAAAAAGCACTGCTATGATACAATACTGCCTGTTTTATACACAAATAACAAATACTATCAAGAAACACTAAAACGATTTACCGAAATATTTCTCAGTCCCGGTCCGTCACGGCATCCCGTCCGAATAATTAAATAAAAAACAAACGCAACCGTACACTAACGGAGACCAACTGGAGGCTAGCCTCCTCTAACGCTATAATTTCTGCAACTAAAAGTACAAATCGGGACGTATGTCGCTGTTTGGATCGGCCTCGCGAAGCTTGTGTTTTTCAAAACGGTCGGAGGCTTGGCTCCCTTGTAACGTATGGAATTTATTATTTCGGGTTGTTGGTTTATTCGTTATTCCTCTATGGGCGGTGCGTTTGAGGTATGTTGATGCAGGATACAGTGTGGTACGTACTACGTAGTGTATGATAGTGTTTTTTCGGGCATATTATGTATTTATATTAAAAATTAATGGTAAAATAATGATACCCAAGCATTTTTAGAAAAAAATAATCATAATTACTTGTCAATATCTTTTAATTTATTGCGATGAATAGCCTCAAATTTTATGGGGAGGCTAAGCCTCCTCTGACGAGCCGCTGCTGGTAGAATATCATGAAATTTCATCAGCTTTCTAAGGTTAGTACTAACGGCAAAAGCGGCGAATGCAATAATACTATGTGTTAGCCTTTTCAGCCCATGTAGTATAGAAACTCTCTGTGAACGTTTGGTTAGTTTCTTGATATTATGTATAAATATTAATTTTAACTACATACCATAAATCTGCAAAGTAATCAAAGACTTCCATATTTATTATGATGTCTGTTTATTTTTGCCCACTCTAGTTTCAAGGATCTGTTTATTGGTTATGTTTCGAATAATTGATTTTTTACTTCATTTCTGTTATTAGACAAAGAGGCGTTAATATCTAGTGAGAACCTTCACTTATTTATGCTGCTTTGAATCAAAATCACTTATTACTAACAGCCTAATTTCAGTTAATTCACCAACTACATTTATGTCGATTGTTCGTCATGCATTTATGTCGACAGCTTTGAATCGCTTTAAAAGATGATCAAACATATATTTGTCTTTCTTCATTGTACTGATTGAATTATGATAGCAATAGTTTCAAACCACTATTCAATTCTCAAGATAAGAGGAATGAAAATATATTTGCCCCTCCAATGTTCTAAAAAAAACTTCAATCCACTTCTCCAGAAAACTGGTGGTTAGCGAACAATCTCCAGTTTACTTTTCCAAGGTTGAATCATGCACCGTTTTTTAGTCGCAAGTTCTGATTTAGGGTGCACGACAACACCATACAAAACAGATTTTCTTTAGCACCCACCTTGAATTTCTTCTTCTTCGTCCATCATTTTGATTCCAGTTACACAAGCCTCAAACCACAAACACGGTATAGTATTAAAATCACATAACTTTATGGACCTAATGTTTCTTTGACAGATCGATATTACGACATTTACGATCACCATAGAAACGGTGAAAGTTTCCAACAAACCTGGTGATCGACTTCTAATAAGATTAATTCAATGGGAAAGGGAGTTTTTTTGACTTTCACGAAAAATACGGACTTTGGAAACTGAGATAAGAATGCTTTCGTTCAACACGATTCAGTACAGTCTCCTTTCTCTAGTTCCGGCATACAGGCTACCGAGTTCGGATTTTAAAGGCAAACACAGCCAAAAAAAAAGTAATGCAGCGAATCAAATAAATATAAAAGGAAGCCGATCGTTAAGATCAATTGCATAAATATTCACATATATGTCTGAGAGAATGGACATCTGTAAATTATGAAAAGAAACATCATTAAAAAAATATTTACAAGTTGAGTGGAAACTGTGACAGACTGAGGTTGACGAGAGACTAGTAGTGGCATCAAGATGATGTATCTTATTCAATTTCATAACATTAAAGTAGTCATGTTAGCAAAAAAAAAAGTTAAACATGGCGCAGTCGGTAGGATGAACAACTGGTTTTGCATTCTTATCAATATCTATGTAATAGGTACTTTTAATACAGAAACGCCGCTCAACCAAAAAAAAGGAGTTGTACTTTTAATACAGAAACGCCGGTCAATCAAAAAAGGGAGTTTATTTTTTCAGTTTATTGTAAGAGGTAGTTATTCCTACATATCTACCGGGAACGTCTCAAGAACACAATCCCTCTACCACTTCATAGAGGGTGTATTATCAGCCCAAGTCGCCCATATTCAGCGAAGCGCTATTATCGATTCATTATGCTCATCGATGAAGTGTAAACTACTACGTCTTTAAATCGAACACACGTTAATCCGAACATTCCGCAATTCGAAAGTTAATTTCATGAAGCAATGAAACGATATGCAGCTGACCGACACAATTTTGGGTATGTTATTTGTGCATGAAATGGAGAACGTGGTATTTCAAATAAACTACAAAATACCGCAGTGATTTGCACTTTTATTATAAACATACATCACTACTCACTCATAACGACATTGTATCATATGGCATGGAACATACAAACCATAGAACTCTAACCTGAGCATCGCTCAGAAATTGTTGAATGACGTCAACGGCGATCCAGATTTGCTTGAAAGGGGCATAACTGGTGACGAAACATTAGTATATGGTTATGACATCGAAACCAAAGTCCAACCGTCCCAATAGAAAAGCCTAGGTGAGAGAAGACCAAAAATAGCACGTCAAGTTCGATTAAATGTCACAGTTTCGCTCATTTTTTTCTTCAATTACCGTGGCGTAGTGCATCAGGATGAGTTTTTGCCACATAACCGTACGGTCAATAAAGAGAAAACGTCCGGTATTGTGGAAACACAGTTCGTGGCTTTTGCATCACGATAATGCACCTGCTCACTAGTCTCAGCCACTGTATTCACCAGATTTGGCCACCTACGACTTTTTCCTGTTCCCATGATTGAAGAGGCCCATACGATGACCGATGACGATGTAAGCTGAGCTTACATTCATGACTACCAACTGTTTATGACAATGTTCGATCCCCTCAGTGATCCCGGAGCATCCCGGAGCATATACAGGGCGAATATTCAGGAACTGCATAAATCGGGTCGCAAATGTATCACATGTCCTTAAAATAATTTTATTACATTATCCATGAACGGTAAATAAATTTACATAATCTTTGTGTAATTTAATCGTCCCGGCATGATTTATCACTGACAATTTGTAAATGACAAGTGGTGACATTATCGTACCAATTGTTTGTTTTCTAACGGAAAACAGATTTAACACCGCGACGTCATGACCAACTGACAGAATTTAGAAACCGTATAGTAAGTATTTTGTAGATTGAAAAATATTAAATTGCAAATATTTCAAAAACTACTAATTTTCGGAATAGGTATCCTTATACAAAGTTATCCTTATTTTTAATGCTTAATATAATTAAATCATAAAAATGGGGAGTTTCAATTTGAAAAAAGCCACTTCAGACGGTTTATTAAATTTAATTTATATTCTTTTTTTGACCACCCTGTATTGATTATTATGAAAATTTCATATAAAGTCTATTAAATTTGGTTCCACTCTACAAGGAACCCGACCAAAACATAATGATGAAGGTTTCCTTATAGGAAAAAATTGATAATTATTGTAGGGTCTGCAAAACACTATTTTTGACATAAAAACCTAAATATGTCAAAAAACGGTTGGACTTAGATATAGCATATTATGCACAAAAAGTATTTAAATTATGATGTAGAATTCAAAAAATGTAACAATGTATTGGGTGTTCCATTTGAAATAACGAAGTTGACAGCTACTTCCGGTATAACCGGGAGTGCCGCCATTTTGAAAATATTTTAGCAGAGTTGCCCCCATCGAGTTTAGTATATTGTCAAATTTTCAGATTTTCCTAATTGATGCAGTTCTTGGAGATTCACCCATTAGAGCTCCAACTATACTTGTTGGAATATTTGCTGCAATGGCATCGACACATAATGTAATGTATATACAATATAATATTCAGAATTCTATAAAAGTCTTTATTTATCTTTAAATTATAGTTAGCTTTCACAGGCCTTACAGGGAAGGTTCACATATAAGGAATGGAAAACAGTTTTCCATATACAGTAAACAGTAAACATATACAAAGAAATCAATTTTTCTTGAGGGGCGCTGCTAACACCATATCTCACGTGTCAAAAAATCCATTAAGTGAATACAATTTAAAAAAATTCAAAATCCACAACAAAAAGCCTTCACAAATTCCACCTATCGGTGTTTGTTGAATTATCTTCAAAAAAACTTACTGTGAGATTCAACTTGTCTATTTCACTTGTGGAAAAACCCGACGGAATGTTTCTTTCGATCAACAATCCGTTGTCATGAGTCAGTTTATCACATTTTCTCTCGAGATTCGCTACTCTTTCCTCCAACTGCCTACAAGTTCTCAATATGGCTCTGTTACTTTCCTGCAATTCTTTATTCTGTTCGCAAAGTTGTTCGATGACATCCGCCAACATGTCGGACGAACTGGCTAAATAATTTCTTAAATTGCTAGAACCACCTCTTGAAATATGCTTTGACGATATGCCTGACGATGAAGAGCTTGCTGACATCCCATTTTGGGTGGATCGACCTTCAGAACCATCAACAGAATCTTCTGATGTGGATATCTCTGGATCGATAGTTTTCTTCACTTTTATTTCCACTGAAAAACATGAAATAAATCTACACATCCATGTATAGAGTTACTTATTTTCAAATTGATTAATCCTTCCTTTCTTTGGAAGATTCTCTCATCCATTTTTTTTGTATCAGATGGAGTAGTAGAAAGCCAAAAACTTTCTTTCCCAAAAAATTAATCACTCCTAAAAATATAACCCTTTCAAATCAAATGAAATAAATATTGAAAGGATTATATTTTTAGGAGTGATCAATTTTTGATTGCTTCCTTTCTTTCTTTGGAAGATTCCCACTTTTTCTTTCGTACCCATGAAATAAATATTCTATAGCTGATTAGTTTTGGCCAACAAATAATTTTTTACAAAATTAAAATTCGCGTACTTCATTCTGGACGGGTTGTAACTTTATAGTAGAAACGATTTTACTTACAGGGTGGGTCATGGGAAGCGTACCGCAAGATATAACAACCAAATTTGTTTATGAGGGAGAAAAGTAAGGCAAAACCTTCAAATCTTTAAGCAGGGGTGTTAACGTTCCCACATTGTTACGGTTATCAGAGGTTGGATGAAAACTTATTGATACTACTCGTTTAAAAAGCCAACAATACGTTTTTCGATAATTTTTTTTGAAGCTCACCCCTGTAAAGCTTTTTATCTGTATGATACGTTTCCATAATACGTTTCTTTTTGGATATACTAATCATATTTGCATCTTGGAAAGCTCCCTTTCTTTCTTTTTTATGGCAAATTTTGTGAACAAGTAAAAGGCACCCCTATGGGTTCCTCACTCTCTCTTCTCCTTGCAAACCTTTCATGAAAGGCTATGAAACCAGATCCATTGACGTGTCTGATCTCAAACCTACATGTTGGATTCGATACATAGACGACGTCTATGTTATATGACCTATAGATTTGGAAGTTCCCATACATTCCTAAACCACATCAACTTCTTACATTCCGACCTAAAACTCACAATGAAAGTCGAAAATAATAACTCACTTCCATTCCTGGACGTTCCCTTCACAAAATCCAATTATCCCTTCTAACACATTGTTTACTGAAAACCAACCCATACTAACCACTACGTCAATGCTAAGTCCCATCATATGTCACTGAAAGCCACATTAGATCCAAGGAACTAGACAAACTCAAATCCGCCCTTCATCAAAACGACTAGCCCGAATCCCAAATCCAAAGATCCCCAAACCCGTATCCCACAGCTCGATGAACAGAGGGAGCCACCAAAAAGCTTTTCGTCCTTATATTTATAGAGTTGCCGACAAAGTGAGGCAAATTGTGAAGAGGCACGATATAAGCCAACATAGCCAACAATCAAATTTATACTTTTGTATGAACACATAAGGACAATGAGCCACAGGATATAAACACCAAACTCTCCAAGCCAGGAAAATTCGCGAAGCTCTCGAAATTGAGAAACGTCCCAACTCCCTTAACAAACGAGATAATTCACAAAGATTACCTCAACAATTAACCCAGCTAATGCCGCGCAGAAAGATGAAGTGAAACCATCAAAGACCTGTGCAACATCTTCCATTTGGAAGATTCGTCACAAGTTTCTTCCTGCATATGAAAAGCAGAAATGAATTTCTCTTGGTCGGTACGACTAATCGATAGACCGAATTCAGGGTATTGCCCCATCATCAGTACCGGGCAGGTCACTTTAGACGGAGTGAACCGTCTGAGTATTCCGACCAAATAATTCCATGAAAATCCAAACCACCGACACTGACATAAAAACTTGGCAAGATGACTTGGGTGTCATACCAATAGGTGGTTCCACTCACGTCTCGCTTGCGTTCACGCAGTTATTTTTATGAAGTACTTTTCTTGGTTATTCACATTTTGTCTTCGATGGAGGACCGCCTGCCCGGTACTGACGATGCCCAATAGGCTGCAATAGCTGTCTACCGGTGGCTTTCAAATTGAAATCAATATGGGAGTGATCAAGAGGAAGATCTGAAGAAGTTATGTTAACTTAGTGTTTAGTGTTGGGAAGAAACTCCAGTAATATTCAACAGTCACTAACAAATGATAAAAAAGTGGTGAAAAAAATGCGACTCCTGGGGTATTCTCGAATATGCCCAATTCATTTTCCTATCAACAGACATTTGTAAGTTTATTTGAAGAATAGATAGCTTAATTTTTCAAATAAAACAAAATGAGACATACCATTTGAAAAATTGTGACATGGTGCTAAGCCCAATGATGTGGAAGCTTCTAAGCCATCAATAGAATCTTCTAATGATAGATCTCGATCATTCTTCTTCAGATATTTTTTGCCAAGAGTAACTTCGGATTTAAAAATCTCCACATCCTCTGAACTCACTGAAAGATGAGATAAAAATTATTATATTTATATTAGAGAGCTTGAAACCATAAATTTCATTGATAATCTATTGATTTCATCCATGCGAACTGAATATTACATGAGTTTTACTTACACAAATATTTAGCAATCCTGAAAGGATCATCCAGATTTTTGATGACATCATTAACCATTCTTTTTATGAAGTTGGCAACACCCGTCACCGTCGAAGCTTTCAAATGTTCGATGAGGTTGAAATTTTTATTCCAATAATAAGGAATATTTTTTTTTTCAAGCATATTAGCGTACTTTTCCAGCATCTGAAATAAAAGAACGAGTTTATTGGTTCAAATCAAGAAATGAGCATTATGTGATAAAAATCCATATAATAGATTCGTTTAAGAATAACCTGAGAATAAAGTTTTACTTGAATGTGTTAAGTCGAAACAGTATTCTCTAATCGTCGGTCTTGATAAGTCAACTCTTAGTAATGATATGATACGCCAGTTTTGATGCGTCACTTGTCATTGTCAATACTGGAACCCAAGACACTGCTTCACAGACGTCAATGTATACGATTTAATTGAACGACTCAACTTACCTTCATGAAAACATAACTTAATGGCTGGGCCCAGAAAGCTACATTGTCTCTCTCGTGAATTTCCCATAAGAAAACAGTTTTAATGAAATAACTTGCAATTTTGTGGTTATATTTATCTCGAATGAACTGCAATAAAAGTCATTGAACGCCTTCACACATTAACGAATAATAGAAAAATAACCTTCAGTAATTTAATAGTAGGTTTCATTTTGTTGTATTCATAACCTTTAATGAGGTCTCTTTCCTGTTCTTGAAAAGATAACCTCCAATATTTGCTGACATCTTCAGATGGCGACGATTCGTAAGGCTTCTTGGGGACGACCAAAAACTTGTCCTAGAAAAAGACAATGTTGTAAAATGAAATATATGGAAATATTCGATTGTCTATGTACTCTCACCCTGGATGGTTTTGGATTCGGTCTATAATCACCCTTTGGCCATTTTTTGCCATTAAACTGGAAGCAAGGTACTAAATCTATGTCGAGAATGATATTATAGTCTTTATTTCTCAATTTCAAAGTGAAAGCAGGATGAGATTTCGATAAAGAAACCTAAAATAAAGTTATATTACTGATACGACCAACATTTGAACTTCTTAAGTACTGAGGTTTCAAGATACTTTGGCGGTCTTATAAGAGGTCTAACCATTGATTTAATGATTTTATTTAATTGTAATTGATATATGTAATTGATAGTCGTTGGTGTACAATAGAAGAAAGATTGAACATAAAATAGATTACTGGAGAACAACAGCGTTAATAGTAAGGGTTCCGTCCACTTGTGAGGAGTGATCTTTGAAATGATTTGGGAATCGATGAATATAAACATTCTGGCAAGCGATAACATCGAAGTTTGGTAAGTTAACCTTCGACTAGCTACTTGATGCTAGTTGAATTAAAAATGGTGAGTGAGGATCTAAGGTGATCACCATCATAAAGATGGTGAATCAGCACACCTTCCTTACAGACTGGAACATACACAAAGCACTTTCCAAAGGCGAAAAACTACCAAAACAATATGTTTACTTTATGGTGGTCAGCGACTGGTGTGATTCGCTAAAGCTTTCTACAACCGGGCCAAAACATCACAGCAGAGTCCTATTGCGAGGATATCGACGAAATGTACCCAAAATTGCGTCAGCAACAGCCGGCACTGGTCAACAGAAAAGGCCCGATCCTGCTTCACAACGCCTGCTCGCACATTACACAAATCACTGTCCAAAAGTTACACAAATTGGGCGTCGAAGTTCTGTCTCACCTACCATACTCCTCAAACTTCTCGCTAACCGACAACCATCTTTTCAAACACTTCGATAACTTTCTCACTGGTAAAACCTTTTCCAATCAGGACCAGGCAAAAACGGCCCTCGTCGATTTCATCGAATCCCGAGCACACAAATGGCGCTTATTTCGATTAAATTGAATAAGTATTTACTGGAATATTAAGTTCGAAGTAGATTCATAAAAACTTTTGAAACAACCTAACACCAAAGTCTATGTTTGTTTTAAGGACAGAACACAAACACTACAGAAAAATCCTTAAGACGCTCTCAGAGCGGTGCCTGTGCAAAAGTAGCGATTCACAATGAAGTTGATTTGCTGGAGATTAAATCCATTTGGTAAAACGTTCTCAGGAAGTTTATTCCACATAAACGCAGTTCTCCAGAAGAAAAAGTTCTTAAACAGTGAAGTTCGAGGTGTACTGGGTTGAACCTCAAAACGATGAGCAGCCACAGTCCGTCGCGTATTTCTGATATGTGCCGCTCTTGGTGGAATCAAATGTACCAAGTCACTTCAACACCTTTCGTGAAAGTATCTATAGAAGAGAGACGAATCTCCAACCTATCTTCGATGTTCCAGACTATCAAGGTTGCAGGTGATATCTCCAATCAGGCGGATGGCTCTTTTCTGGACGGAATCCAGCAACTTCAGGAAATGTTTCGGAGCAGAGCTCCATACATGGGAACAATACTCCAAAGGTCTGATATGAGCTTTATGAAGCATCAAAAGTTGCTGAGGTATGTATAGTTTTCTGGTTCGACAATTGGGGAACTGGCCAAATGTTACACCCATGCTCAATCCCTAAAGAGATGGGATGGAATCAAAGGATGCAATCTTGCCAGGATCACCTTGGGCGACCCTGGGAAGCTGGCGCCGAAGAAATATCTGGCGATGACCAGGAAAAAACTATGCTCAACAGTAGGATTTCTGACTGGCCACTGTCAACTAAGGAAACACCTCCATAATATGGGGCTAGTGGACACACCTGTATGCAGGATGTGTGAACAGGAAGATGAGCCTGTCAGGCATTTTCTATGCGAGTGCCCGGACTTATCGTCAATAAGAGAGTGTGTGCTCGGCGAGTCTTGGCCTACACCTGCCGATATAAAGGAGATGTTTCCCAGTGACCTGACCACCTTCCTGGAAAGGACAGGATGGACGATGACCTAGGAGAACAACTCCTCGGGAGGATGTACAATGGGTCACATATGGCTAAGTGCTGTGGGCTTACACTCACCCTCCCTACTCTACAGATACAGATAGTTTTCTGGTTCGGAACAGTGTTCCAAACTTTTGAGAAGCAACCTTTGCAATCCCAGCGACATGATTGAAGATAGTCTTTTGGAATGCCATTGGCTTTCTTCTAAAGAAACTTGATTTCGAGAACTTTCTCGTAGAGCACAACATCGATGCGGCTCTAATTCAAGAGACGCATCTGAAGAATGAATCCGTTGTCATTCCAAATTACAAGTTCTACCATAGAGAACGTGTTGGACGTGCTGGTGGGGAAGTTGGCATTCTTGTCAAACGATCCCTCCAGTGTGTCCAATACGGTATTGACAGTGCTCGGTTACACGGAAGTGAGGCCGTAGGGGTCGAAATTCGACTGAGTCGGGGTTGTCACAGATTAATCTCTGTCTACAACCCTCCGAATAATCTTTTATTCCCAGAATCACTGGATGAACTGCTGATGGGTAGTGATATTCCGACAATTGCTGCTGGCGACTTCAATGCCAAGCACGGACTATGGAGCAGAGCCACCAACCGAAACTGCCAAGCGCTGCATGCACATGCTGACAGACATGAATATCTCGTGCTGGGACCGGATGAACCTACGTTCTATCGCGGGCATCGCGCTTCTCAGAAACGTCTCTCTGACTAGCGAAATTTGCGTTCAGTCGGAACTGGATTCCGATCATAATCCAGTAATCCTGGTATTGGGTGATGATCTTCCTTCCCCTGATTATTGCATGAGATATAAGACGGATTGGGATATCTTCACAGCTCAGCTAGGAGAGATGCGCGCCCCTCCTGAGGGTCTCCGCTCTCCCAACGAACTCGACGCGGCAGTTCACTGCTTCGAGATCTCTGTGAATGATGCTTTTCGGACGGCCACCTCCAGTGAGGAGTGTCCGCTGAAGAGCTATAATGAGTTTCCCCCTCGTATCAAAGCCTTGATACGAGAGAGAAATCGCCTGAGAAGGCTCTATCAGCGAACACTCTTCCCAGGAGACAAAACAGCGGCAAACAGGATGGCCAATCAAGTAAAACAGGCCATTATTGATCACCGAAATGAGAGGTGGGAGGAGCTGTTGGAAACCATTGAACCTGGGAGTGACGAGCTTTGGTGAATCACTCGTAGACTCAAGGGAAAGAAGGCAGCTCCCTCACCCATTCACGGAGAGCGCGGAGTGTGCTACTCCCCCGCCGACAAAGCGTTGGCTTTTGCTGACACGATGGAACGTCAGTTTCAACTTAACGTTGACGACAACGACGACATCGACCGCGATATTCTGCTTGAATATCGGGTTCACCGCATCCTCAGGGAGGATGACGATGATGTCATTCGTCCGGCTTCTGTGGAAGAATTAAAGGGCTATATCAAGGCCGCCCCGGGGGGTTGACTCAATAACAAACAAGTTATTGAAGAAGCTCCCGGAAAACTGCGTTGAGAGCCTACTGTCCATCATTAACAGCTCTCTGGCTCTAAGATACTTTCNTGGATTTTACGCAGTAACTTATCGGGGTAAACTAAAAAGTTTGCCCTTCTACACTTGTATAAAGTTCTCAATTATAATTTTTATATTTTTCAGATTGTGGAAGGTAACAAATACCCAAAAAAGGTCGATAAAAAACTGATTTTCCTCCACAAAAAAATGACTTTCGTTGAATAAAAATAAAATGATTTTGTCAAAGGAGTTGAAAGACGTTAAAACTCACATAAATCTTGACAAGTTTGTTTTGTTCAATTTCAACCTCAAAGTAATTTCCTAATTCGTCTTTCTCAATATCGTTTAAGGCCAAACCTATTATGCTTTCCATCCAAGCCAGAACCTTCGGGGTCGACAAATATTGCCCATCCATCAAGGTATTCAGTTTCCTAGAAATGATAAAATAAAAAAATATATAATATATAATGAGAAGGCCTCAGAATTATTAATATAGATATCTGACCAATAAAAATACTCAAGTAAAATTCAAGTAAAATTCATAAAAATATCAACAATATTGAAGAGAACAAAATTCGTCGTTGTCGAATGAAATTTTAGACTTTAAGAGTTTTTTACATTTGGAATTTTGGACTTTTTGAGTTAGGATTTTTCAAAATTTTAAGATTCTTAGACTTTTAGAATTCTAGAAGTTTAGAGTTTTATACTTCTGGAATTTCACACTTTCTGGATTTTCATCACTTTAGGGAATTTTAGATCTTTTATGGATGAATCTTTTGGACTTTCAGGATTTCAGACTTTCAGAATTTGCAGTACTTTTAGAATTTGCAAAGAATTTTAGAATTTGTTGAGACTACTCAGTTGTTACTGAGACTTCGAGATACTTCCTTTGTTCTCACAGTAACAGCATATACCACAACCTACTAGCCCAGATTTTTTTTCTCTAATAGTGAGTCTTGTTCTTCTATCATCCTAAGCCTAAGTTCTTATATCATCAATAGTCTACCTGTTATTAAAATTTGCAACGACTTTTAGAATTTGCAACAAGATTTAGAATTTCAGACTTATATAACTTTAGACATTCAGAATTTTATACTTTAGAATTTTCGGCTTTAGAATTCTTTAAAATTTTAGAATGTCAACTTTCAAATCCTTAGATTATTGGACTTTGGAAGTTTAAGACTTAGGATTTTACACTTATTGCATTTTAGACTCTTAAAGTTTTAGAATTTTGGACTTCAAGAATTTCATATCTTTCGGATCTTTTATTGGTTTTTATGGATGAATCTTTTATATGCTCTTTATTGAATGAATTTTTCAGATCTTTTATAGATGAACCTTTTAGACATTTAGGATTTTATACTTAGAGAATTTGCAATACTTTTAGAATTTGCAAGATTAATCAGTTGTTACTCTGACTTCGCGACTTCGGAAGGTTTTCGCGGGTATCAAGGTGGGAATCTTGCACCTTGACTATCCAACTACCTAATTAACGATGAAACAGCAGAGTATATACTTTGTGCAACTCCGCTGGGGACCGAATCAGGTTTTTAGAGTTTGCCAGAGCCGTAATCTTACCATCTGACCCGAAAGACCACTCACCATACAAACTAATCTGCTTCGTTTAGAAGCTGGGTTTATTTGGTGTGAATAGGTGTGAGCCACAACAAACCCTTGCGGGTTGCGGTAGAGGGTCGAATAGACCCACTCACTTTGGATCTAACCTAATCTATATACCTTTAAGGGTGCAAACCCAAGTCACGACGCAAAATTCGCCATGTTATGGTCTGCGAAAGGCCGAGTTCTTGTGAGCGACGCGAAATCGACTGCCTCGTATTCTCCTGCACACTCTCACAGACAGCGGCAATGTTTTCGGCAGATTCTGCGTTTCGTCGACGTACGGGTGTGGGTCGATCGTTTACCGAACCAGTGTATTAAAATGTATCCACCACATAGCGAATCTCGGTGGGATGATTACCGTAAAATGGACTAAGCGCGAGGTACGTTGCCCGAACAGAACACCCATTTGCACTTATTCTTGAATTCCATATCGGTCCATAGTGATTTGGCAAAACAGACTGAATAAATGACAACCAATTTGACAGATGTCGCTTCATCAAGATGGCCGTTATCAATTGTCAAAGTTTGGAAGTCCCTGTTGGAAGATCCTAAATTTTCAAAAAACTAAATATATTGTTGTGTAACACACTGGCAATCTGAATAATTTTTGATGATATTTTTTAATTTGCAGAGACGAAAGAGAGTTATGTTCAACAAGAAGTTTATGGCATATTCTGATTTCAAATTCGGAATACATTTTTTGGGATACTTGATGAACGCCAGAAAACTTCAGTCCTTTTTTCCAATACATTGAAAAGATAACAGGACTGTAATGGTTGATGAATTCATTTGACAATGGGAATATTGACTCTTTTGACATCTTAGTTTGTAGAGTTATTCTCTAAAAATTTCAGATTCACGATTCCAGGAAAATCATCAGATTAATTGAAGAAAATGGACTGTGTGTTATTCTGCAAGTTTGTTGGCCATGGTCTGCAGTTATTTGTCTACACGTACGGTGGAGATCATCAAAGAGGTGAGGCAAAGGCCACGCTGTAGCTGTATACCCAAACTTCGGGTACAACCACGGCCAAAAAACCCGCGAAATAGTTTTTAAGGCTTGAAAAGAATTCTCTTACTCGAATTTTTTTCCATCTGGCGATTTCAGTAGTTTAGCATATTCATTTATACGAATATAAACAAACCCAGGCCTGTCGCTGATTTCTACATCTGGTTCGGCCAACAAGGGTAAGTTCAACACACTGTCCAAATCATATTCCTCGGGTTTTCCGACTTTTATTCCATCGTAGAAGCTGCCGCCGCAGAATATCCTTTCGTACACATGTCTGAATAAATCATCTTTTTCTTTCAACTTTTTTGTCATAGTCTCCATTATCTGAAAAGAGACAGTTTACTTTTTCTCAAACAGTTACATAAGCAAGTTTTTCCAAATTGTAGATAAAAAAATAACAATACATTTTCAAACCATGATTAGACAGCTTTCCCTGCACAGAGTATCCCTCATAAGTTTTAAGAAAATAACTTTTTCGAAATCAAATTTCGAAATATTCACCTCTAATACCGTTCCTACAGAGTAGGATCTGGTAAATGTCTGCCGAAAAACTACTTCCCCGATTGATGCATTGAATTGTGAGGTCTATTTAAAAAATATGTGAATGTTCAAATTTCGCGGATTACATATATTCAATCAGCGGGTATTTTCTTTTTTTTATGTTGGTACACTAGTCTATGTTGTATAATCATAGTTTCAGCTGTTTAGCATGTTCAATTTGTTTACAGGTGGTACAAGCTGTGATGTCTTTCATCCATGCCAATGAAACACTTTCGAGGTTCATTCAATAACTATATTTTCCAATTTAAAAATACCAAAACACAGAGCCCTGTCCAAGGACGTCACAGATAACTTTTTATACAAGTATAATCTAGCCACATACCTACTGACATTACACAAGCTTTTCATAGAAGGTCGCATAGAAGGATGCAAACGACGCCGCCCGCCTTGGGCGCCCCAGCACATCAACAATCGATGAAAATGTTGAGAAATTGAAGAAAATTGTTATGGAGAATAATAATAATAATAATAATAAATCGGCTTTATTGATAATACAAAAAAAACAATACAAAGATATATTTGAAAATGAAAATAGTTTACAGGAGATTCTGGTACTCCTTGGCGAAGTCTAGCTCAAAGCTACTCTAACTCAACCAACAAGCACCACTCCATAATGCACGCAAACATACAAAAATAAAAGCAATTAACAGTGATGGTACCACGAAATGAGAACCGTAAATAAAATAATAATTTGTGATTACCTTCTAAAGATATAGTTGATAAATAATTTAATTGAATTGATCGTCGAATCATTATTAGAATTGATCGTCGAATCATTATTAGAGAAGTTGCTAAGAATGTCGGTATATCGGTTTACTTATTCCATGCATTTTTTTCGGATATCTTGGACATAAAGCATGTGGTCGCGAGATTCGTTTCAAAATTGCTGAATTTTGACCAAAAACCCTCCAATACTGACGTGAGGCTTGAAAGGGGGGAGGGGGTTAAGCAAAAATCACGAAATATCACAGGGGGGAGAGGGGGAGTAGTGAGATATCACGTTTATTCATATTTTCGTGTAATGCGCGATTTCGAAACCGAATAGCGGCGTGTAGTGCAATTTTGGCTCGCCGTTGCCAGGCAACGAACAAAGTGCCCGTGCGCCACGCGTCAACTCTGATCTTCAATAAAAGTCCAATGGTCTCAATGGAAAAGTCCAGGAGAACCAAGACCAATAAAGCAAGTCAAGTTCGATAAAATGTCAAGGTTTTGCTCAATATTTTCTTCGATTACAGTGGAGTAATGCAGCAGGAGGTCTCCTAGAATTCTTCCCAAACATTAACCTTTTGAGAGTATTGCGTGTGTTCTTCTCTCATCCAGTGAGGATTTTCCATTGACCAGAAGCAGCAATTTTGCCGATTAGTATGACCGTTAACAGACAAAGTACACTCATCAGAAAACATAACGTCTTCTATTTGGATGATATTGTTATCCAACGCATGTCCTTCATTTGCTCACAAACATAAGTTCTTTTATCAAAATCATCTTCCTTGAGCTCCTGAGTAGGTATCATTTTATAGGGATGTATTTTATTTTCTTTTAATATGTTTACTATCGATGTACGGCTAACATTGAATGTAATGGATGCCTGTCTACTCGATGTATGTGGGTTTTCCTCAAACTCAAGCATCACATCTCATTGCATTGACAGCTGCTTCTTTTATCTGCCCCACATAACATGACGAAGTTCGCGAAACTGCTTTTCTATTTTGCTTATTGTTTTTTGAGATATGGGCGATAAATTAGGAAATTTCTCATGAAATAGTCGAGCAACTTCCTGTTGTGTTCAGGTATTATCTCCATAACCAATCATTTGTAAAACTATTATTTTATGCATTTCCGTTAATCTAACCATTTGTCAGACTTGAAGTTAACGAACTTTGAACTTAAATTAAAATACTGACAACAAACTAACGTTGTCACGGAAATTATTTACAGTTTTTTAAAAGATACCATCTAAAAAGAACATAGTCATGGTTTTTGCTTACTTTCTTATTATCAATAACTCAACATGAAATAAGTTTTGAGTGTAATTTATCGAATTTCGGTAACCACATGATTTTAATTAATTTTATCTCAATTGTGGCAATGAACTTGGAAGCCTATACAAGCCTTCATTCGACGGGAGTTGAAGGTGGGGGTAGCATTTTTCCGAAAGCATCAAAATGTTACGAAGGTCCGAAGTAGATGAACACTTCAATCTAGCAGACCATTATTATAATCTTCTTGCAGTCATTATTCACTGTGGTTCTGGCGTTGAATTTGGTCACTATTACGCCTTGGTCAAAGACGAAACGGACTGGTTTAAGTTTGACGATAGTCGTGTCACTAAGTGTTCTGGCGAAGTATTGAATTTATTGGAGCCTCTGGAGACACCGTACATTTTGTTTTATGGGAGAGAGGACATCGGCAGATTAATATCTTCTGATGATGTGGTGCTGCAGGTTTTTCCGGGTTTTCCTGCAGCTGAAAAAGCAAATGCGCCACTGGAATCAATGAAGTCGCCCCGGAGCACCAATTAATTTTTGTTGTTATTTTATATTTCATGTTTTGTATTTTGGAAGTGTTTCAAATATAATTCTCAAGAATTTGACGTGTTTCGGGATTTTCTTAAAATATGTATCGTAACTGAAATAATGAATTTATTCCATTTGGCTTTTACACACTGTATAATCGATGCACTAATAATAATTTAATCAATGTAATAATAATCATGTGTATTTAAATATAACATAAATATAATGTGCAGAGAACAGAATTCACTAAATGACAGCCATTGATAATAAATTAGATTTTTGGAGTAAAAAAAGTTATTTTTTTGCGGAGTCGGAAAAAATACGCCAATTTTCAACCATAGTTTGAGTCAGAACGGTTTGTCAGGGAAAAAACCCAGATAGTGAAATTTGTAAAAAACTTTGTATACTTTTATTTCGTATGTTGTATCTTTCACGAAAAGTTGATATTTTCCGAGTTATAAGCAGAAAACTGCCAAAAATTTTGATTTTTTCCTTTTTTATATTTCTTTCAATGTTTCGTCACGAAATTTTGTTAGCAAACCCCAGATTCGGATTCAGCACCCAGAAAAACATGCAAAATGGAAGAAATCAAAACTATCCCAAAACTTTCCTGCTAAAAATACAATTTTACTGCTTTCTCCTAATTCATCGGGTTCAAGGAAAATAACATATCAACACAAATAGACACATTCAATTACTACCTCTTTTAATAATCACAAGTATTTTGTTTACATATAAAAAATCGAAAAATACTACAAAGACTCATTGGCTATAATATATCACTATTTCGGTATGACATAGTAGTGGGGCAACATGCTTGGCTGAAGGTTTTGCTGGTTGACCAATTCCTTATCTTTGTCGATTGTCGGCAGCTTGTTCTGCAGCGTTTTGTGAACTGGTACTCTATCCTGACACACCCTGTATCTGATATTTGGCGGAGTGCGGAAAACTTCATGTAAGGAGTCGACGCTCTCCGTGTCGTCTTCGGCTTTTGGAACTTGCAACTCTTCGGATGTTTTCCTTGCCATTTTCGGTTTCGTTGCTAGAAACCTCTTTAAGACTCGTTGAGTTACCGAACTGGGCTTCAATAAACTCGCCATAACGTTTCTTCACTTCGAATTTGGGGAGGACACGAGTGACGTTTTGGATATTTTATTTGACATGCGAACGGGCTACACGATTTGTTCGTCCCTAACAAAGTCGGGGTTACCTAGAGATCGTTCTGGACCGGATCTGCTATATTTTTCGTTGGGGTCAACGTTGTACTTGCATTTAAAACGAGTTGATCAAGGTCCAACTTGAATATCTAACAGAAATCAAAATTAGCCAGGGGACTGTATCGAGGAGAGATACATACGTACAGGGAAATAAATATTTCGAAATGGAATCTTAAACTTTTAATATCTATACCAAGATTTATACAAAGCAACTGATAATTGTGAAGTAACTGCCATAGTTCTCTTGGACTACAGTAAAGCATTCGGTATATTAGACCACAATATTCTGTGTAGGAAAATGTCATTTCTCGGATTTAGTGAAGAGACTGTAGATCTATTGAAAAGTTAGTTACCTTAGAAATCGGACTCAGTCAGTATGTCTGGATGGAAAGTGTTCTAGTGCTTTACCTGTTGACTATTGAGTACCTCAGGGCTCTATCCGTGGCCCCATTCTGTTCTCTCTACATATATCTGACTTCTATAAAATAATTGATCATTGCACAGTTCATTATGCAGATGACACTCAGTTATATTATCGATTTTCTCCAAGTAACTGGCAGGTGGCAATGAAAAAATTAACAGCGATCTACGAAAGTTACTGGATTTATTTATAGCCCATAACCTGAAATTGAATTCTAAAAAATCTCATCTGATACTTTTTGGCCCGAAACACAAAAGGTGGGAAATTGAAATCCAACTTGGACAAGACTTACTACAAATAATTACAGAAAGCACGAACTTTAGTTTGTGGCTAGATGCTGATTTAAGATTTCACAAACATATAAATTCACTTTGTCGTAGCTCGTACAGTATCTTATGTCAACTCTATCAAAATTGAGACATTACGACTTCCAAATTGAAGTTGAAACTTTTCGAAACCCTGATATTGTCTAGATTATCATATTGCGATATAATCTACGGGCCTGCTTTGATACAAATTGATGTAAATCGCTTACAAAAAATACAAAACAATTGCATCCGAAAATTCGGCCATATATTCCCCAAGTTCGAGGGTTCAGGTTGGTTACCG